GCGTGGTTCCTAACTATTAAATTTAATTAATCAGTCTGTAATGCAAACAATTCCGACCTAAATAATGATACGAGAGCGTTCTTACTTCGGAAACAAGTAGCTCTGCCATCTGACTGTCAGTCAATCGACTTGTATAGACTACTCCATAATCCCGCCAGAACCAGTTTCTTCAAATTCCGCTAAAATCTTCATACGGCACAACTCGCAGATGCGGATCAGATGTGATATTTGCATAGCGTAGGGTTGTGCCTTTAGCGAGTTGAGAAGTGTCAAATCTGAAAACTTACTGCCAGTGAGCTTCAACCATGTTGTCTTGCTCTTGTGATATTATTGCTCGTTCCCGTCGTTGGCCAACATCACTTAACTCTATTTCTTATCCTCCATAATTATATGAGCAGTGTATTTCTCAGCAATGATCAACAAATCCGTAATAAGCATAGTTTACTCATACTCGCACACTCACAATCACTCATGTCAAGGCCTTTTCAGGTAAGTGAAGTTACATTGTATTTATTGACCCATATGTCAATCAATCGTTTGTTTATGCTGCGCAACAGAATTAAAGAAGTTTACTATATGAGGGGAATTATTATATCGTCTAGGCCTCTTACATAATAATAGTTGCCTGACAGGTAACTGTGCTACAATGTTATAATTAGACGGATATGGCTTTCTTCGATTCATTCCCTACTACCCACTTCTCTACGGCCCTCACAACGAATTCCCTGAGCTTCGACGTCATTTCTTTGTTGTTATTCAACAACATTTCGCTGACTCCCATTAATGGCAAGTGAAGGACGTCCCGCCAAACGTAATCGTCAACAAATTCGTAGAGGTTTTTGTCATTTAGTTCGTCACTGTGCAAATGGAGAAATTGATTAGTATTCAAAAAATTGTTAATATTTCACGTTTTTACTACATACCCATACTTCTCAACATAGTCATTGGCGAGTCCCCGAAGAAGCACATTGACTTGATATCTAAGGTTACTATGTAGTAACCTCTCCAATCTTCTTTGCCACAGCTGCAACACTTGGATGGGCTCGCGTACTCTTCAAGATTCTCGCAGCAAATTCTTCATACAGTTCGGGTGTACTATTGCGCGTACGCAGGAACAGAGCACGACTTTCTTTATATATCCGGTCCTGTAACGTCTTAAAGGCAATAATATATTGGAACCAACAATTGAAAAGTTTAAATGTAGCAAGTAAAAATAATTCTATTTACTGATTGGTCCACGTATGCATCGTCTTGTTTCTTGTCATTTCTCGTTAAATCCATCACAAGTTTTAAGATTTCGGGTCGACTCGCAACCCATTCGGCAATCTCTCGATCACCGCGTTCAAGGATTTCTTGGCTATTTTCGTCACTGTCCGCCTCCGTTATAACAGGGTTTTGGTTTTCGGGTTCTGAGAGTGGAGGTGATTGCCCTATTAAAATTGTATTGACAATAAATACATACAATTTTGCGTACTAGTAAACGATAAAGATTTCTACTATTTAAACTTAGTGAAAAAGTTACAAGTGTCAAGATATGAACTCGCTTCGTTGTCAGAATCAATAACTGTGTTTAAGAAGTTGTGTTTTAGCAGTGACAAGCGTTTGGTTGTATTGAATGGCAATTTTATTGTAACTGGTAATTACCTTGTGGTTCGAAAGCCATTGCTCTTGTTGGTTGGCTTCTTGGAGACTCGCAAACTTTGTTAATAATTTGTCTTCGTCTTGGCATGTCTACTATTGGTTGGCTTCTTGGAGACTCGCGAACTTTGTTAATAATTTGTCTTCGTCTTGGCATGTCTACTGTTGGTTGCTAGTTTGAATAATCGAATTGAAAATGCTGCGAACGTTGTATTTATAAAATCAAGGAAGCTTGCCTGTCTGCGATCTTTATTGGATGGAGGTTAAGAAATGCTGAGCAAAAATCGCGACGAGCGCAATACTCGCGGTTTTGGAATTGAACGGTCGTGATGTTTTGACGTCTGTCATGATACATTGGCGATGTTTTGTCAATATGTGGTCGTGTTGTCTAGTATTTGGTTAGAATGTTTAGCAAGTATCGTTAGTGGCTCGCAACTTTTTGGTTAGATTATTTGGTATGTTAAGATTATATCGTTATCGTTATTGGTTGGTTAATCAATACAGTATATTACTCTTAATATTAATGTATTGTTTATGAATGTGGTTTTTGATACTTGCTATATTTAGGAATGTTTATCAATTAACAGACGCAAATGTTTTGACAACAAGTTATATCGTGTTTTGTCAGATATGTTTAGAATGTTTAGAAATCGCGGTGTTTCAACATTTGGGGAATTGCTTTATAGTTCGTTGCTTTCGGTTTCGTTCAACTCTCATAATATTCCTTTCGGCTTAAATTTCCTGACAACAGTAAAAGATAATTTCTATCAAAATGACAAGATTGCACGGACAGAAAACTAACTTTGAAGCATCTGCGTATGTCTACAGATACAAACCAAAAAAGACATCAACCAAAAAACTTTATAAAAACGTATGTTATAATTTCAATTAATCCATGTTTGATGATAATACTCATAAATTTTTGAACGTCATAAGGCGGATCGTCATTGCCAATACGAGAAACTAGTTGATAGGGGAATCTCAATCGAGGAGAGTCGGATAGAGTATGAAAATTATGATTTCGAAAATTGATTGATTTTTAAGACACAAATAGTATAATATTCACGATGGCTGCGCCAATTACGCAGGAGCGATCTAGATAATGTGATGGAAGCTGCATCACCAGTAGAAATGTTCGAACCATGTAATGACTTTATGGATATTGAAACCGATCGAGACGTCAAGTATGTTATTACAATTTGTTTACAACAATTATGGTTCAAATTGCATAAACTATTGTCTTACTTTATCCTAATACGCAGTATCACTGGTAAATCAAATTCATATAATGAATACAATGAAGAAGGAGAAGAGGAAGAAAAAGAGGATGGAGAAAGTGAAGTCTGCGATCAAGCAGCAGGGAACATGAATGAGTTTGACGGGCCTTACGGTCCTTACTTTCCAAATTTTACCGCTACTATGCTTTTTATTTGGGTGACCAAACATATGATTTGTATGTTTTTTACATCAGCTTTTTATTATCGTAAAAATTTATTTCTAATACTAACGTTATATATTATTCAGCGACTGCTGCATATGAAGATCTCGTACAGATCCTTCAGCATGAGGAATTTAAAGTAGATGACATTGTATCTAATGTGAGACGTTTACGCAAATGGAGAAATAGACTACCATTATCAAAGATCCATAGCCATGAAATTGCAATAGCGACAAAAAATACCCCATCAACTGCGATACCAGCAAAAAGTGCTTATACCATGTCATTGCGGGAAACCATAGAGCGTGTACTCAGTAATCCTCAACTTTCTTCGAAAATGTATTTTGGGTGCGGTATCGAAACGGAGGAGAAAAAAGAACTTTGGCATGGTGAAATTTGGAAGGAATCGCCTCTATTTGGAAAAGAGCATTTGGAGATTAACGGAGGTTGTTTTTTTATAATTATTTGATTAGAATCTGCGAAACACTGTTAACTTAAAATATTTTATATCAGTCATTTATTATTCAGGTGATTTTATACATTGTCGCCAACGAATGGAATCACGAAGTCGGGACATTTTTGCTCGTGTTAGATCAATCGTTGAGATGGAAAGAGAATTTTGCTTGAAGGTTGATGAACTGCTCACATATTCACAAATTCCTGGACACCTTCATAGTTCAAGACGAGCAGTAAATCAGAATAAATTGTTATGGTTGGTTGAAGATTTTTCCTTTGTAGTCAAAAAAGGAGATGTCATAGGAAAAGTCAATGTTTGGTTATATGACAATCCAGCACCGGCAAAATACGATTTTATTGTAATGGAAATTCTGTATCGCTTGAACAATACTTGGAAAGTACGTAAAATCTCCCAAAGGCATAAATTGCCATCTGAATATATTACAAATATACGGCATCCTCCATCGAATGTACCAATTAGAAAATTTTTCTTGGACATATATATTGACGATTTCGGGACATATAGAAACGTCTACCATGCACTCGGTGGTGTTTATTTACAGTTTGGTAATATGCCGCAGAGACTAAGAAAACAACTAAAGAATCATTTTTTGCTTGGGTTTGTGCCGTTTGGGGGTAATGTTTACGAATTTCTCGGACCAATTCGTGAAGAGATTAGAGCACTTGAACATGGTTACATGATCAACATTAGCACGGGAAATTATTGGGTCATGGGAGGCGTTGGGTGCATTACTGCAGATCTTCCTCAAGGAAACGATTTGGCTGGCATTAAGAGACATAATGCAAATTTTGGTTGTCGCACTTGCCATGCACACCAAAATCAATTGACAGAAAGTCGTTTTGATTACATAGCTAATGCACGTTTTAAACATGTGACTGATAACCAGTATGCAGAAGTAATGGAGCTACCGACTATAAGCGCTAGAGAACGGTGTGCTACTAAATATGGAATATCTGTAGATCGGCATCCATTAGAAAACATAATGTGGGATTGTCATACACAAACGCCT